GAGGAGCGGGCTCGCTGATGAAGCCGTGGGCGGCGACGGAGGAGGCAAAGCCGGCAATGGCGGCGGCGACAGTGTAGGACTTCATTGTGATTGTTGTTGGGTTGTTTGAGAAGAGCGAGAGTTGCTGTATAGATCGACGGAAGACTAGCTTCGTGAACGAGTGTGATGAATGAATGTGGTGTTGAAAAGAACGTGAGGTCTCGGACCTAAGATGCACAAGGAAGCTGTGGTTGGAAGTGAAGAAACTGTTGTTTGATGGAGGAAACCCAAGAGTACCAAGATACCTATATACGATACGGCGGCATGGCACTATTCCTGTTCACCACTCAATCTGTGGGCCGTGTCATTAAACATGCGAAACAAGTGACCGATGGATTGCAGCCTCGAACAGCGCTTACTGTGCCCCCGATTCAAACGACTCCCACGCCCTGCCTGTTCCTGAGATGTCAGACGTGGCGTGGGTCCTCTTGTCATGCTTGAACCGGTTCATCCACCAGTCACAGGAAGCCCTGTCGTGACTAAGATCGCAGGGTGCCGTTCGATACTGCAGGCCAAGCAAACATGTTCCCGCGACAGCGGCCACCATGCCTGTTGACAGGAAACCAACCGGTTCTCGTAAGTGGCTAACCATAGACGGCAGCATAGACGAACCGTCCTACCTGGTAGAAGCGCCCATGATCCTGGGTTGAAACGGTCGCGAGCGTACGGTGGGTTTCAGGTGCTCCGAGGCTTAATGCATGCGATTGTGGCGCTCCCCACCGACCTGGTCGGCCATATTGCAGGATCTTCAACTGCGTCATGTGTATCGATACCGCGCGCTACATTTTCAGCGATGCATTGAACGCCATATGAAGAGTTCGAAGAGTTTTTGTCCTGCGTTGGATGAAATCTGACTGAACCGGTGGCAGTGGCTTGATCGGAAGGCGGCTTCGGTGTGCGCTAGCCCTCGGAAATTGGTGGAGCCGCTCAATCTCGCGTGCGATGATGCTGAGTCGCCTCGATCCTTCTTCAACACCACGAGTTTATCTCCGAGGTTATGAAAAGCTCAGTGAGTGGAGATCGGTGTCCGGTCCAGGTGTCAGTGCTGTGTGTTCTCGGTCGATGCGCCGTGCTCGCATGTATTGCATAGCGGATCTGGGTCATCCCCATGCATCCTTCTTGCCTTTTCGCGGCGCCGGAGACCGAATTACTTTGCGGTGATTAAACGGCGCCACATTACTTTGGAATGGCGTTTATCGCACAGTATGGCTGTGTAGGAATACTGCTACGGGTGGACCGGATGCCGCAAAGAAGGTCGCTTGATCTAGTGTTTGATACAGAGTGTCTCCTAATGCGAAGGTCTCACACGCGGTCGACCACAAGCTACCCCTCTTCATCAAGGCCACACAAGCTCTGCGATCTTCGAATAGCTTGTCTGCTCGTAGATTTCTCAAAGACATGGGGGATACCGTTGCCGAGAAAGCTTAGCCATATCTCGTTATAGCCTTGGGCCCTCGAATATACCCTCACCTTCCATCGAAATGTAAGTACGGTAGCGACCAACATGCGGGTTCGATTAGCTTCCGCATCTACCACAGACCTGGACATCGACTAGTGATCATGGCGATGCCCAGGCATACGATCAACGTGGAGTGAAGGACAAACAGCATGAAAGAGACCACCCAGGGTAACTGGTTGCATTGCGCATTGATTGGCATTGTTCACTCGTTCGTGTTCCCGTGACTGGTGTTCAATCAGAGATGCCCGGGCGCAGGTAAATGTCCAAGGCGCGCTAACGGCTCGTTTTGGTCCAGCGCTTCCAAGGTTGCGCGTCAACCATTCCGCTGTCTCTCCACCTTCATCACTCGACATGCAGGTTCACAACAGATATTGCAACGTTCCATTATTCTACTAACTATTCGTCGCTCACACGCCAGACAAGACGCTCCATGCTCGCTTCTTTGCGTCTCAGCATATCCATCGCCTTCTGCGCCCTCTCCAGCATCGTCGCGCCCTCAACGATCCTTTGCTTTTGCGGCGTCACAACACCATCCTTCAACAAAGTCGGCATGATGTCGGGCTGAAGATGGTATTTGAAGAACTCATTCTGGGGAGTGTTAGCTGCGTTGCTCTGACAAGAAACTAGGGTGACTCACGTCTTGGTAGAAATGTGTTCGCACGCCTCTCACATCGACCCCGTCATTCCACTCGGCCACTTTGCCCACATCCATTTCATACTCCGGGTCCTCGGTCTCGGTGGAATCGCGAACGACCACGGGTAGGAGTATGGCGACCTTAGAGCCCTTCTTCGCAAGTTCGGCGATCGGCGCGATGCTACCCTTCAGGCTGCCGATGCAGTCATAGACCAATGGAATTCCGCGGCCACCACCAGACTTCAGGATAGACTTGACGACATCTGGGTTGTTGTAGTCGAACACCTTGTGCGCGCCAAGGATCTGTAGCTTTTCGTGGTGTTTCTGAGACGCTGTCGCCAGAATGTTCTTGTAACCGTAGTAGCGCAGAATCTGGATGGCGAATTGACCCACTGACGAGGAGCCACCCCAGACCAATATCGCAGAGTCGGCATCGTCAGGCACATAATTCTCAGGTTTCGGCCAGGGTGTTTCGAGGCCCAGATCTGTCGTAAGAGAGTGGAACACAGTCACGAAATTATTGGGAAGCGTCACAGCTTCCATCGGAGTGAAGCCTTCAGGTAACTACAGCACTTCAGCATTTGCCTGACAGATGTGCAAGATGGGGTGTAGCTTACCTTGGCGAGAAGCCATTCATCTGTAGTACAGAAATCCTGATAGGCCTTTTGAGCTTGGGTCTTCCAGGTAAAGCCGAAGACCTTGTCTCTAACCCTCAGTCGCTTGATTTCTGGTCCTACTTCGACCACGGTACCAGCGACACTGTCACCAAGGACCTGAGGGTGCTTTACGAGTAAGGCTCCGTCGTTTTGATGCAGATCGAGGGGTGTGGAAGCAGTCCACTCGACACGAAGGCGAACCTGCTGCGCTTCCGGAGTTGTAGTGGGAACTTGGATGATCTCAAGAGGCGCCTTCTTAGCCACTGTTGCAACGGCGGAGTGTGTAGACATGGTGAGCTGATGACAAGTCCTGACTTTGAACTGAATGTAGAAGATTGTGAACGAATATTGGAAGGTAAGAACGACTGTTCTGCTCAATGCCTGTCTGCAGTTCCTACCGCTAGTTATACTCTCTCAAAGTTCTCCTTCGCATCCTGAGTATTACAAATGCTAGTCGCGTTTATGAACGCTAGCAAATATTTCCAAAATAGGATTAGGCCCTTGGTTGGCCCGAATCGGGCCAATCGTGATCAAGAAGAAAGACACCAGCTGTTGCAAGAACAGGTAGTGCTGTAACCCGAGGTTTCGGTGGATGGTGTTCGTTGTCTTTTTTTTTCCTGGCCCATAGTTCCAATTCATTGGTGCGTGGCGCTGTTGGGTGCATTCAGCAACCATGGTACAGACCTCGCTTCCGCAACATGAACTTCTGCGTGGGCAGCACTTCATGAAGTGTAAGTATATAATCTGGCCCATTTCTCCATTACAGATCTTCCATACTTCCCAACTTGAATTACCATACCAAAAATATTCAGCCGCAGAAACCACCACAATCATACAAACCACCACCATACGAACCATCACCGCTGCCACAATAATGAAGTACTTCACGCAACATCTTCCCACCGGAACAAGCCACAAGCGCGACTACCTTGATCAAGCAATCTTGACACGTCTCAAGAAGCTAGCGAGGAAGACATCGCACTGCCTTCAAAAGGAGCCGAACAGCGCTGAATCGGCAAAGAAGCCAAAGCAAAGTGCTCCGGCGTACGGAGAATACTCCATACCATACATTTTCTGTTAAACTCCAATTCCGATCCGATTGTAGGCTTGAAGTGTTGTTCTTTACGGAACGCCACATACTACCACGTCTAATTCGCTTCTGGATACACAACCATTCGGGCTTAGCGTGCGGTATTTCTCTACAACCATAACCATTATGCAACTGGAAAGCTATCGGTGGATGCCGTTTTCGAGGGATATATTGGTTATGAACTGGAGAGCCCCTCTGGTTCCTGTTTGCATCTTGGACCCGCGCTTTGCTCTCGTGCGTTCCTGTTTTCTCGTTCAAGAGGCCGATTGTTTGGGTATGGGCTCGCCGTATCAGCACCCTCACGGCAGTCATGAGTCGGTTTACCATGGTTTCGACGGAGAAGAAGAGTCTGGGAGCGACGGTGCTGTTGTATCGTCGAGAGGCGACGCATGCTCCGCTCGCAGTGAAGTGCCCAGCCACTTTTGCAACGCACTCAAGTCATCACAACAGAGAAGAGCTACACGAGAACACCTCTTCGCTGATCAAGCGACACAAACGCCTGATTCTTATGCGAAGACGCCACACAGTTGTTCAACACTCACGCCGTCAGCTTGCTCAGCATTCACACCATCCACTATCGCAACCACCTTGAACAGCACCCAATCCAAACACAGCACGCCTTACAAAACCCAAAAGTCAGACTCGATTACGCCATACGGCCGACTGAATTCGTTGAAGTCGTGCAAACGAACCGACAGCGTCATCGAACTACACACCTTCATGCCTACGCATTCGAGTCGCTACCCACCCGGCGTCGTGGTCATCAAAAGACTCGACGAACAAGGCAACGAAATAGTCGAATTGACGGATCTGACGCATCAAATTACACCGTTAACTGATCTGAAACCTACAGTAACTGTAGTGGTCGATCAAACTGGTGTCGTGCAAAGCACAAAAAGAGCGGGGTTGATGGAGAGGGCCTGGGAGAGGATAGTCGATACATTGGCGAGAGATGACGCGGAGGATATGTGAAGCATGGCATCGAAAACGCGTTTACTGTGCTGCTTTCAGGATAATAGTAGGATCTCTAGAGACAATTCCACCATTGATAACTCATCCACTCATTCTCCTGCCCACCGTATCTGTCTTCACTCACCCTGATGTGATCTGAAGCCTGCACACCTAAGAGTGCATTTCCAGCACAACTCCGTGTGGGCCTCCATCGTCGGCACCGTAGTTCAGCTCGAACCAGTAGAGCTCCAAGTCTCTCTTGCTAGCCGGATGAATGACGAATTGTGCGGCCTTCTTCATGGGACACTCGAACCATTTGCTGACTACCTCGGATGCGCCGTTCGCCGTCAGAGTGTAGGCATCGTAGTGTTCAGTGATGGCGGGCTTATTGTTCCAGGTACTACGGCCGTTGACCAGCTTGGCTTCGATGCGAGAGATGCTGATAGCCATTGGAGCGTCGCCCTTGAGGGTAAGTGGGGCGTTTTTGAAGGGGTCGACATTGATGAGGAATTGCAGGCGGCAGATCTTGACATTGTCAATCTGGGGGACGTCGAAGTTGATTGCTGTCCATTGTTCGTCGTTTGTCTTGTTCTGGCTGCCGGATTAGTAGCTGGAAAGCTCATGATGTGGGTCTTTAGACACTTACATTGCGGCTGACGGTCGCATCATCCTGGGTATAGAAAGCGGTGTCCGGCTGTGAGCTTTTCATGGGCAGGAGCAATGTCGGGAACTTGGTTTCGACCAGGTCCGCAAAGGCTGGAAGGCCGAAGAGAACGGGGAGGAGAGCGAAAATGCGCATTTTGATGTTTGAGGGGTCGATGATCGGGTGGAAGATGCTGATGTGTGGAAGCTGAAGCTGTCGATGCTGAAGTAGTGATGCTTCGCAGTGATGCTCTTATACGTGAGGAAGAAGTGTAGCGGTATTGAGCTGAGACGCTTGGGTGGACAACAAGCTAATATGGCGGCTGTGCCGTCCTTGCAGATTCTCTTGTGCGAGGCAAGTGACTGCCTACCAGCAGCTAGGAAGTCGCATTGGCTGTGCCTGGGGAAGTCGCGGTCTGCACCACACCGAGCAGTACCAAAACAACATCCATCCAAGAAGGCAAGAGCGACCCCAAGACCAAGTAGCACGATTACGTGGTCGTTTTGCTCAACAAGACAACGATGAGTCCACTTTTGGAAACAGTACAGAGTACGACGAAGCTGTCATTCGCGTGTCGGCAAGACACGCTGGTGTTGGCGACCGAGACGTGGGTATTGTCGGGGCACCAGACGGGTAGCTACAGCAATTCATCGATTGCATTTGATGGGTTGCTAAAAATACTGTCTTGGGCGGATTTCTCTGCTTCTCCAGATGCGCAAGTTTGTTTCTGCTAACGGTGGAGACGTCCGTTAGCTCTCGAGGGCTGTCAGCGACTAGGCCCGACAAGCGGCATATTGGAGGAACCATGCAGATCTGTACCCTCGCAACTCAACTTCTCTCAACTATCATATTAAGCTGTCCTACCTGAACCCGCATTCCAGTAGTAATAGAGGACATAGATGACGCGGAACCGCGTGATGTGGGCTCGAATGATGGTAATGCAGCTCTTTAGTTTGTTCACACCGCTCTGTCACGGCGCACGATGCTCTTTGAAGTGTATTGGCTTGTGGTTTGAATCGATCATACTAGAATATTGCATTTGTGTGGTCAATTGTTGCCGGCGTTCCCAGACTCCGGGCGGGGAAGGTATCACGAGACCAAGATATTGTTCCAGCTGGTAGGTTCGTCTGAAATCCATTCGATTGTTCCTGGATATAGTGCCAGAGCAAACCACCGGCCTAGCATTGGTGGTGTAACAGCCTACAGCCTTTCGCAGACTAGGCTTTCGGCGCGGAGCTATTGCAAAGATGAAGTACTCTAAACGCGTGAAATGTGGTAGTACGACAACGTGGGACAAAGGCGGGGTCGATGGTGAGAGTGTTCAGAGACAGAGAATAGCTCCTGGAAGCCTCATGATGCTCTTCAAAGTACTTGGGGATGGGACAATCTAGGGATAGCGCGGCTTTAGAGCCTCGGCAAGTGGGGCTGTCGTCATCGCTGTGGCAGCAGCAGCTCAACTTCAGCATCGCACCACACGTTGGCCCTACGCGTCGTTGTCTTACCAACTCGATGTCCTCTTCGGGCCTCCTAGGATGGCTTTCTGCTGGCGAACGCGACCCGCCTTGAAGCTCGGTGTCGCTGGACGCCTCTCGTTCCGCGCGCGAGGCGTACCATTCCGACGAAACCTCTACCTTGCGCCGCCTTACCTACTGGATGACTACATACCACGCTATCAGCTGCTCTCCTCAGTGGAAGCCGCCAAGAAGCGATCTCTGGCGTATGCTCATCTGCGCGAATGCAATCTCTGCCCCCGATTGTGCGGTGTCAACCGTTACGAGACGACAGGCACGTGTCTGATAGGAGCCGAGACTGTCAAAGTCAACACTATCGCTCCTCACTTTGGTGGTGGGTCAAGACCGTCAATTCCCGGGCGTGCTCGTGCTGACACCGACCAGAGGAGCCCTGTTTCCAGGGACACAACGGTAGCGGGTCCGTCTTCTTCTCTGGGTGCAACCTGAGATGCGTGTTCTGCCAGGTATGCTGCCCTGTCCTTCGTCGTAGCATACGCACTAACGCCGTGTCCAGAACCACGATATAGCCCACCAGCGCAACGGGTTCGACCTGACACCAGAGCAACTCGCCGAGTGGTTCATGAAGCTGCAGGACGTGGGCCGCGTCCACAACATCAACCTCGTGACACCCGAACATGTCGTACCCCAGGTCTGCCTATCGATTCTGCATGCGCGCGATCTCGGTCTCCACATACCCATCATTTACAACACGTCGTCATTCGACTCGCTCGAGAGCATACACTTGATGGATGGACTGGTGGACATTTATCTCCCCGACTTCAAGGTGTGGCGTGACGCGACGAGCCGTCGCTTACTCAAAGCAGATGGATACACAAAGGTGGCTATGGAGAGCATCAAGGCCATGCACGAACAAGTGGGTGACCTCTGCTTCACTCCTGACGGCATCGCAAAGAAGGGAGTGCTGGTGCGACACCTGGTGATGCCCGGCATGGAGGACGAAGGACGAGAGATCGTAAAGTGGCTTGCCGAGAACGTGAGCAAAGACATCATGGTGCACATTATGGAGCAGTATTTCCCAAGAGCTCATGTGGGCAGGGAACGACGCGGCCGTGCAAGCCAGGGCGTTGTTGAGACAGGCGGTGTTGAAGCCTCACCCTCGACTAAGAAAGACGTGCGATATAGTGAGATTAATCGCGCTGTAGACTTGGATGAAGTAGCCTCAGTAAAACAGGCAGCCCAAGAAGCTGGCTTGTGGAGGTTCGTCGAAGCATCGAGGCATGGCGGCTTCAACATCTGACGAAGCCTGGTGCAACTTGGAATGCGTGGACAGAAGGTGTGGCCAGGACCCATCCACCGCGCCTGCTCTTCGTAGGTTGCGCCTGCTCTAAACATCACCCAGGCACCTACTCGTCTGTGGCCGAGCCAATACTCACATCCACCCCGTCATCTTGGACACCACCACAAACATATTGATTCGTGCATTACTACGATGCCGCCGATCAGCATGGAACAAATCTCCGAAATCGAACGCATCGTCCATGACCTCAAGGTCGACCGCGATACCTGGCAGGCTGTAGCGCTCCAATACAAAGCGGCCTTCGAAGCTCAGACATCCCACCTACACGAGCTGCAAAACGTGTGCTTTGCTACGCAAGCCGAGTTGGAAAACGAGCGAGCTCAACAACAACGTCTCCAGACACTCTCTGGCGAGCGCGAGAACCACCGTCCTGCGACCTTTGACGGTACTGAGGACCTTCACGTCAATTTCACTTTTGGTACCGCTACTGTATGCTTACCGAAAGAGATCGAGCCAACTCACTTGCGACGGCCCTCCGAAGATTGCACCCACCCCTTGTTCAAGCGCGCACAAGAGTGTACCGCTCAGCGTAACTACGGCACTGCCCTGGTCGAGGTTGAGCGACTCCTGAAAGGCCCGCTTAGCTACAAGGCTCGCGCCGAAGGCTTACTCTTGAAGAGCAATATTCTAAGGGCCTCTGGCCCCGATGAGCTCCTTGACGCGCTAGCTACGTGCAGCGAGGCCGTAGAGCTCTGCGACCGTCTCTCCGAACTTAAGAACTTTTTGCCGCGCATACAATACCAGCGTAGTCTGTTGTATTATGAGCTGCGTCAACTCCACCAAGCCCGAGAAGCCTTCAGCACCGTTTGCGACGACGACCTCTCCGCTAAAGCCAGGGAGTTTCGCAAGTCTTACGATGACGAGCTGGATCTGCTGCGCTGTACCAAGCGTCGGTCGGGCTTTGATGAGAATCGCACTATGGAAGGCTTGCTCGCCCAACTGGAGGATAAGGGCACAGAGGTAATGCAGCGTCGATTCCAACACCCTACAGCATACTGACCTCTCCTAGAATAAGCGCCGTCGAACCAGTGCGCAACTTAGGCAGCGCGCCGCCGCGAAAGCGAGACGAATGTCGTTGCCCTACCGCTGGGTCAAATCAAAGAGCGACGAACATCACCGCGAGTAATACTACCATGTCACACTGGTCTGTCATCCTGGGAAGTCATGGCAGCACTCCGCCGTTCAGGGGATGAACTTTTGGTACCGCGCTTCTTTGTTCGCACAGACATGGCGGCTCAGCCACCACTTGAGGGGCCGTGCCATTCTTTGTGTTGACGTTTTCCGCTTTCTCGCAAGGCTGCAGGAATTGAACAAAGAGTTATCGTAGAGAACGTTATGTCAAATGCGGCGCGGCTTGAGACATCCCCAAAGCACGAACATCTTTAGTCGGAAAGTTGATAGTTCTATGCCATCGCAAGACACATTTGCCTGAGATTACTAGGAGCTTTGCTCTTCTGATTATCTCATCGCGATGTTCGCAAACGTTCAGCAGCCCCTAGAGGTCGCTGCCCTCGGCCATGAGTCCCTTAACGGCGTCGCGAATCGTACTAACGATGTATCTACATACATCAACAGTCTCCCAACTCCCCCCAAACACGACAAATCTTTCGACTGCGCATCGCCATTAAGTCAACCCCTTCGAGAAAGAGATCAACACATCAGCAACGAAACCCATTCGGATATCACGCCTGAATCCATCGCGAATGGCGTCCCCATTGAAGAAAAATCCAGCAACGAATTCAGGCTAGCCATGGGTCTGATCCAATGCCAAACGTACCTCAATCGTTGCGTAGTTTTGCAGTCAATCATCAACTCCATGGAGCGCACACCCCAGGCACAACAGTCTGAGGCTGAGGCCGAGGCAATCGTACGGTCCTACTACAAGAGGATTCATAGGTTTGCTGTCGAAGCATACCAACTTGCCGAAGCTAGATCTAGCCGCAGCCTACTCGCACGTTCCGAATACTGGTGTGGCCGTGGCTGCGGTGGTTTGCGCGAATGGGATGCTGCTGTGAGCCACTTCACGTCTGCCGTGAACATGGATTTGTCAGACGTCTTTTTCAAGGGTTTGCCACGTCAGCAAAGAGGTCTACTGAAGACTGAGAGGGAGGATGTCGACTTCCTACTCCAGAGCGTAACACAACGTTACAACGAATGGATTCTAAACGGAGGAGCGCATAAAGCCGTCGATGATCAAGGAGCAAGCCCCAGTCCTACCGAGGTTGTTCGAGAACAGGCACTGAAGGGACCGCGTTGGAGGCCACATCAAGAACACTTTGTCTATCTGGCAGAGCAACAGTGTAGTACAGAAGGGTCTTCCGACAGACAGCTTAGCCACCTTCGATCGAGTGAACACCCAGGTGTTTCCTTGAATGAGAAGGATATGGCAGCTGCTGAGGAAAGGCTTAATCTGAAGGACGATAAACAAGGGATTCGAAACACATTCAACGCCGATGAGTGGTACTATGTCATCCGCGGCCACAAGCCCACCAAGAAACGTACGGATCGCACCGAGCATAGTAGTGCTAGAGATCGAGGCTACCAAAACAGCAGACCATCCAAGCTTCCACCATCCGTCGCATCAACCCATTCCAGAAGCGTCTCTTCACTCGAACCCTCTCATGACCTACGCAACGCACTCGACACTGCAGGCTACGAAAGCGTCGGAGCCCCACCATCGCTCGTCGGAAGTGGCGGATCGCCTTCATCTGAGGGAGAGCGCGGACTGCCATCACCTACGGCAGGGTATTCACAAGGCCGTCGCAACATGAAGTTGCCGGGTATAAGCACAAGCGCAATACGGAAAGACCCTAGGCTTGGTGAGGCCGTTCTGGGCTCCCTCTCGCCGACAGACGTGGAGGTAGACGATATCCATACTGGGGATGAGACAGGGGAAGTTGGGTCCGGCAAGAGTATGGTCGCATCGGCGGGGAGGGATTTGTCGGCAACTTATTAGTGGAGGATCGGGCGAGGGTGGAGATGTACGGTTCTTTATGGGTGTGGGTGGGAACTGAGGATCGCGCTTCATGTTGGAAATGCGAGAGGTCAATTTGATCCGCGCGGGTTTGCTTGTTATGTTATTAATCTGGGTTATATGCAAATCCAATCGTCTTCTCATTCTGGCGTTACCGTTCTCATGTACGATCACGCATTTGAAGCATGTTTTGCACTAACCTCAGAAGGGATGATCAGTGCGTACAACGCTTTTCTCAGTAGACCTTTGTCCCGATCATCAAAGAATGTCCGCGCATTCATCTTACCTTTGTCTGCCCACGTTCACATAAGACGCCTACTCCGTATGTGCTATGGTGTCAGACCTTCGAAGAACACTTACAAACATTGCAGTCACATCAGCAAACATACACATCTCTTTCTCAGCTTAAAGCAGCCATGTCATACATACCACCGTCAGTATCTTCAGAACCCGCCCCACCAACCCTCGTCGACCTCTGGCTCACCGAAAAGCACATATGTGCATCCGGCAACGCATGGCGCTGGACTGATACCGGTTTCCTCGTCCTCTTCATCCTCCTCTTCCTATTCATGATCGGCTTAGTATGCCAAGACGCGGATCTAACAGTCGAGCTAATGGAGCTGAAAGAAGGCACATATGCAAAGCACATCGGAGGCACAGTCATGGCATACTTTGACGAGGGCATTCGTAACGACCTTGTGCAAAAGTACATCAGGACGGGGCTCGCGCGTAGTAAGATGAGATTAAAGCGCGAAATCACGGCTGAATTGATCGACGCATACCGGAAACGACAGCGAAAAGGTCGTGCTGGGAGTGATACGCACGGCGAGCGTCCTGTACCACGGGATGGTGAGGAGGCTGGTGAATATGCTGAGCGCTTGAGGGAATGGACAGAGGAAGATTTACGGCGTGAGACGGATGCGAGGGTGAGCCTTTGGTTGAGGAGGCCAACTGGGGAGACTGTTGGGTTGTCGCAAGAAGAGGCTAGGGTTATTGCTCAAGCTGCTGGTGGTAGTACGTGAGACGTTGAGGCTTCTGTGTTCGAGTCGGATTCGCTAGCGAACTAGAAACCACGATGAAGCAAGTCTGAACAAGTCATATTATGTATCTGTTCAAGACGCATGCATTTCGATCTCAGTTATTCCTTCGACCCCAGCCGCTGTTTTGAGTGGTATGTCACTCGCCCCGTTGTTGGTCATGCTTGAGCTCCTGCTTTCTCTTTCCGCAGGCCGCCAGTATACATGGCTGGGTCCACTGTTGTTCTGGGATGGATGTTTGTTTCCAAAATAATAATGATAGACAGATCGAGACAGCGCGAGATTAGTGGCTATGATACCAAGGCATAACTCAGTCATGGCCCAAATGGCTACGGCAGAGTACTCATCTAGTCAAACTGAGTTAGTACGGCTTTATTGCAGCGCGAGAATCTTCACGTACAGGCAATATCCTTTGCTTTCGAATTAAGTGTTTTCGCCCTGACAGTAGAACATGCCGTGCAGATCAGTCCGAGAGCCATCAGCACCCAAATCGATACCTTCCTTCTTGTGGGCAATTGGATATCCCGCGTAATGATGATAGGAAGCAAGGAGCATATGAGATCGGTGATGATCGATATCCCTAGGTGTCAAGTAAGCTTTCAGATCAGGAAATAGCTTTCGTAGGCCTTACCAGCTTGTGCATAAATTGAGTAGATTCGTACTTCCGTAGGCCAGCACGTGCCTGGTCCCGAACGCCAGTAAAGGCTAATAGGCTGACATTGGGCCAACAGGACGATGATGACCTCAAGGGCAGCAATAAGTAGAACGGCGATGACGAAGCCAGCAAGCCATTTCATCTGGCTGGAGTGTTTGATTCGAGTCATGAGCAGGCAGACCGAGATCTTGACCGAAGCCATAGCAGCAAAGAGAACAAGCTGGGCGTACCAACTGTACATGTTGATGAGTTCCTTGTCGCCCTTGGAAAGCGACACACTGGGTCTTCCCTTACCTCTCGTCACTGCTGTGATGGTAATTGCGGCCTCAATGACCGTGAGCATCATCGCGACTGCGATGGTGTGGTCATCCCAGCCGAGGGCTCGGCGCTTCCTGCGAACCCAGAGCCGTAGGACGGTGGTGAAGAAGGCAATTGTTGTAAATAGCACCGAGACGGTGATCAATGCCGGACCTCTGTCTGCGATCATCGGGAATGGCCCTTGAGTTTCAAGTAAGAAAATGTATTCAAGACAATCACTGTCATGGGGATACTTGCAACTTATTCGTGGCACGACCAGACCAGCATAGAATCCTTCTGGACAGCAACTTTAGACGCATAATCCACAGTGCTTTCCGCAAGAATTACCAACAAAGTACGAGCTTAGACTTTGCACCAAAGTTACGCCCCGATCTATTGCGAAACCTCGTATGGCGAATAGCTTCGCTTTCAAAGGATTGGGTCAACGCTGCGAACGCACCGCGCGGCCGAAGAATCGCTCAGCTGCAGGGGTCGACTGGGAAGAATCGTTCTTGTTGGCTCGCTTCGTACCGTCCATTGCCGCAATGCCGGCGGTTTATCTGTGTTTGAGAGCTCACGGATCTCGTTGTACTATTGCACGACGGCTCAGCATGACCAGACCGACACATGGCAATGGCGGTGTTATGGTGCTTTGATGTCAATCAGCAGGGTGTCGTAGCCAATGGGAAGACGTGGCTATAAACACGGGGAGTGTAGCAATCGCGCTCGCGAGGCGAGCCCGGTAACGCTGCTGATTTGGGTATGCAAGGTATCTGGTATGGAGAGCGTTACCGGAGATCGAACCAAACGGTTTTCCCGCCTTGGCGCAGGAAAGGATTCGTATCCATGCGAGCGATATGCAGGCGCATGCATATCGGCTGTAGTCACGCGAGGCTGTGGCCAATTGGAATGTCAAAAAGATTCCCTCAGATAATCCTTCCCTAACTGGATAAGACGCCTTGCAATCTCAACATCTTGTGTGGACTATATCCGTGACACGGCAGCGGTTCTCCGAAGGATCAATCTGAGCTCCATTGCCGTGTCTGTAAGGCGCATACTGAGCCGTCTTCGCTAGCCAATAATGGATCAAAGTGGGCCTGGCTGAACAGTGGCCAATGCAGGCTTGCTCTAAACAGTCGTGCAGTATTTCGGAATCTTATGCACCAGGCCTCCCGCTTTCTCTATTCCTACAGGTTTCCCGTCTAAGGCGTTCACTACGCAGGAGTACCATCGTATCGACTTCTGTTGTGTACAAGACGCTGAGCACCGATGTGGCTCATCTCAGCTTTGTTCTCCGCGGTCGTGCTGGGTGTCGTACCTGCAGCGAGTGCGAAGACATGTCAGGTACCCGATGGCAGCTTCGACTTCGTATGTATTTTCCAGGCTGCAATATTGAACACATGACGGAGCTGACCTTTTCTCTAGGTCATTATTGGAGGCGGAACAGCCGGCCTTGCACTTGCCACAAGACTCAGCGATGCTCTTCCAAGCCATTGTATTCTAGTCATCGAAGCTGGACCGGATGGACGCGAGGAGCAACGAATCTATATCCCTGGACTGAGAGGCTCGACCTTCGGTTCCTCGTACGATTGGAGCCTTCCAACTGTGCCACAGGCTGAGGCAAACAACCGGACCATAGGCCATAACCGCGGCAAGGTCCTTGGTGGTACTTCAGCCCTGAACCTGCTTGTTTGGAACCGTGCCACTGTCAAGGAATACGATGCTTGGGAAGAGCTCGGGAACCCAGGTTGGAACTGGCAAAACATGTTTCCAAGCATGCAGAAAGCGGAAAACTTCCAACGACAGAATGGCTCCCCACAGTACGGCGTCGATGGTGTTGGATATGGAGGCCCGATCCAAGTCGCTCTAACTGAGAATCCGCCGCCCCAACTTCAGGCTTGTATCCCAACGTTGACCAATCTTGGCGTGCAAGAGAACCTCGAATCGTTGAATGGAACGAATCTTGGCGTCATGTATCAACCAGCTACATATCGCATATCCAATCACACGCGCTCCTATTCCGTGGACTATCTTCCAGAAGCTGGCGACAACCTAACTTTCATGTTCAACACTACCGTCCAGAAGATACATCTTGATGAGGATGGGTCAAAGGCGACTGGCGTCATTCTCATGGACGGCACATTGATCCAAGCCAGGAGCGAGGTAGTTGTTTCGGCTGGGAGCCTACTTTCTCCAAAGATTTTGGAGCTTTCTGGGATAGGCCAGAAGTCCGTGTTGGAAAACGCCGGTGTCCAGCAGATCATTGATCTTCCCGGGGTTGGAGAGAACTTACAGGATCATCTCCGCATCCAGACGACGTATGAGCTCAAACCCGACATTCTCGGAGTGGATATCCTAAAGTATAACACGACGTTGGCGGCCAGTGAATTGGAGCTGTGGAAGCGCGGCCGTACTTCGCTCTACCAATATGCCGGAAGCTGCTACGGCTTCGTGAAGTGGAAGCAGGCTCTTGGTGACGACAGCAAGCTCATCCAGCTGGCAACGCAGTCCGCGAACAAGTCGAATGCTGTTGACCGAAAGAAGCTTGAACTACTCACTGGTCCGGACTCCGAAGCACCAGATCTGGAGGTCGTCTTCAGTGACGGTTATATTGGAACAACCGGCTACCCCAAGAATGGCACAGCTGGCTACGGTAAGCAGTATGCAACGCTTCTGGCTGGTGTACAGCACCCGCTTTCTAGGGGATCAGTCCACATCAACGGATCCGATCCAACCAACAAGCCCCTCATCGATCCGAGGTATCTTGGTACGCCGTACGATCTAGAGGCTTTGATTCAGGCCGCGAAGTACACACGAAAGATGGCCATGACCGCGCCCTTCAAAGATGTGTGGGTATCCGAGTTCGATCCTGGCATGAGCACCGAAACAGACGCAGAGTGGGATACGTACATCAGGAACAACGTCTTCACTTTCTACCACCCACTAGGAACCTGCGCGATGTTGCCGAAGGAGGACGGTGGTGTGGTCGACCCCCAACTGAGGGTTTACGGCGTAGATAATCTCAGGGTAGTGGACGCGAGCGTCATTCCGATGATCATCTCGGCACATATCCAAACAGCCATTTACGGCATCGCGGAGAGAGCTGCAGAGATGATAGCGACGAAGTACCGCTGAGGAAACGCGCTCGGTGTCGCGTCATGTGCGGAGGCTAAGAAGCCGAGGCTCATCCCGATTAGGAATAGCCGAACGCGTCGCGTGTCGTCATGAGGCTCTCAAACCTCATCGTCGCTTCATCAGCATCCAGCTATCGTCTTCCGCGCTTCTACTTCACATATACAAACATAAACTTATCCCGATATCAGACCTCGTGCTTTGATCAATGACATGATTATTCTACAATTGGAACGCAGTCAGAATTAAGCAAGTGCGCAGACACGGCATACCCTTCCCGATATTAAGATCTCGGCAATACCTGCATCGCAGCATTAATCGCCCAAAATGCTAAACAAACAGAAGCGCAATACTGTATGGCATCCCTGCCGGCACCTCGCTGGTTCACAATCAAGTCTGGGAACGGATCCAACACAAGACGAATGGACTGAAGCAAACTCCGCCAACGCCAAGCTCCCCATTCCCCTCATCAGGTAAACTTGTGATCCCAATTCATTCTCAAAAAGAGTGGCTCCTTGAACTCGGTTTTCAGTAGATGAATGGAGCGCCGGTATTGATGTGTCGAATTCCTGATGGTTTCGGGAATAGAACTCGACCGCGAGACAACGAGACGGTTGGGCGTCTACTTACCGCACACTCGGCAGTAAGGTAAGCTGTGCGCATGGCACAATCTAGGCTCTGAGTACGCCGGCGGATAAACGTGGAGCCGCTGCACCGGTGCAAGCACTTGTCGAGTCTGCGGAACTGGCGTTGTGTACGCTGGAAATTGGCCGTTCGCACGCATCTGGCCAAGCATGCGCTGGTGGTTGTTCATTGCAGTGGTCAACATGATGCCATACGCGCCCAACATTCCCTCGAGGTCATCCGGTTGCATATCCACTGTGCGTTGCTGGAATCCATTGTCGGCTTCCTGGTGCAAGGTTCGCATATTACTGAGTAGACTGACTGCTTCCCTGCGTCTTGCGGCACGATAGGCTTCGCGCTCCTCTAATGCTTGAACGCGGTCGGCGATGTCGACAATCCTCTTCGCGAAGTCCTTGAGCTCTGCGTTCTCTTGTTCCAATTTGGCGATACGCTCTGCTTGTTCCTGCTGCGCTTCCTGCACGGCTCGGAGCTGCGCTGCAAAGCCCAAAGGCACGATCAATTGAGCGCATCCTTGGCTTGGAGTTTGCGCAGACTCCCGGGCAGGTTGCGGAGGGAAATCTGGGGTTGTCATCGTTGGAGGAGGGTTTCCAGTGCATGCGCTATTGGTATTTTGACAGTCGCCCATCGTAGCTTTCGTGTATGGTGTAGTTCCTTGCTGTTGCGCGGCACGCCAGAGTCGATCAGCGCGTAGAACAAGACAGAAAACAGACGAGCTGAGCAAGGGAAAGCTGATGGAGCTTTGCGTTTGCGCGCAACTAGCAATTGTTCGAGCAAACGATCTGTCGCAAATACACAGAAAGGGCCTAGCGGCGGTGAAAACCCGCAGTGAGCGATGAAAGGTGCGCTGACTGGCGCCTACAGTGTTTGCGGAGCACGGCAAACGAGTGGCCGTCTCTCTTCACTCCCGCGTTCGATGTCATGATCGCTTTTGGATCACTTTACACTCAAATGGGACAGGTGGGCTATACCCACCGTCCTCGCTCACGAGACGGGGCGTGGACGAAACTACGCACACGCCATACAAGCTCTCTTGCCGGGCACAATCAAACACAGTTCGGTCGAACGATGTGTTCATTGCTTTCCCAGACGGTTGCTTCGGCGCTACATCAGGCAAATGATCTTGTCATAACTTTGTAGGACATGACCTGTCATGTTTGGCAGGAGGACAGTGTTATCGGACTAGGCTAAGATCGAGACACCTAGAATCGTAGCCTACTCTACGAAGAAAGTAGTCATACTCCTCGGCGGAACAGAAGCTACAAACACTGACCCATTAACCCCATACGTCCGAACCATCGTATTATTATGTTCGTTATCCGCCAAATAAGCATTCGCAACGCCCATCGTGAAATTACAGCCCTTAATACTAACCTCAACCTGTCTTGCGTAGTGCGCCTCATTGATAACCGGGAT